GTGTCTCGAAGGGTGTGCGCTGCTCTTGCGCGTGCCGCTATGCATGTGCTATTGCGCGCTAGAGTGCAGAAGCAACAGACGCAATCGCGCGCGCGCGGGGCCACGCACGCGCGCATTATGCATGCGCACCTGCACCGCAGGGTAGAAGTGCAGGACATCGCGCCTTGATAATCGCACGAAAGCACGCCCAACAGTCAATGCCTGAGGTCCGTCGCCTTCTTTGGCTCAAGACTCACCGTGTGATTCGCCCTCACTTGTCCAGGTTTTGAGACGTTCATGCATTACTCACAGAGATCGTCTTGCGATGTTGTCTCTCGAAGTGCAGATGTGCTTCCTCATTGGGTTCGTGGTGGCGATCTATTTGCCGAAGTTGAAGCACGCGCTGCACAAGGCCAACTGGGCCCACATAGTCAGCATGACGGCCCCCTTTCGCACCTGGCATATCATGATCCTGTTCAGCGCAGCGGTTGTCAGCTGTCCATTGCTCCGCGCACCTACCACTTATGACGTCGAACGCCCGTGCAGCAATTCGGTGCAGGTGAATGTGTATTCCCCTTTGACATCTACAACGAGGACTTTGATCTTCTTTTGCAACGCGTGAACATGACTGGTGATCTCGCACAGACGCATGCGCAGGTGAAAGTGCCCATTCCACTCTACCAAGGCAAAGACGGCGTGGGATATTCCCTTCAGCACGTGAACGTAGCGAGTGCCGTGGCATATATGACCAACGCCACGTTGCATGATCAGGTGTGTCCTCGCGTTGATGGCGGCTACGATGAGATGGGCGCCGACGCTGGTCCTGCCCGCGCGTGTTCACCGCCTGGCTACGCATGTGGCAATCCGAAGGATGGCGAGGGCCCGAGCTCTGGACAACCAGCCGACCCGTCGTGGCAGCCGACGTCGGCACGCTTACATGTGGAACGGGAGGGCGGTCGGGGTGGACTGGCGGATGCATCCTTCCGGAGTGAGAACAGGAGGCTCGCGTGGGGGATCGACTACAGAATTGATTTACCGCAGAATTGATTATTTCGTCGATTCTTTCGTCGAATACACGAAGGAATACGTAGAATGTTCGTGGATGTCTACGTATTCCTTAGTGTATTCGACGAAAGAATCAATTCAGGGGTAAATCAATTCTGTAGTCGATCCCCCCACTCGGAAGGCGGGCGTCAGGGGCGTTGGCAGTGTACTCTGTTTGCAAAGACATCTTACACACTCCGTTTACGGTTTGGATATGCATGTGGCATTTGTCAATGCGGTATGTGATTGCGGTGCTCTCGCAGCACTCTTACGCGCTTGTCGCATACGGGTTACTTTGGAAGGGCAAGGATATCACTTACGCGAAGAGAAAGTGTGCACGCGCTATTTTCCTGATTGGGCTTCTGCTCGGCGACATGGCGGTGAGACTCTACCAGGTAGTCGAAGCCGAAGGCGGCATGCGCAGCTTCAACGTTGACCAGCCGCGCGCGCCAGACGATTTCGACAGTGATCACAACATGGCAGGTGACTTTGATGAACAAGGTTTGGTTCACGTGGAGGCGAAGTGGGTCGCGACAGAGGAGTGCTTCGAAGATGCCCAAGGATTTCAGGAGTACGTCCACGCCATCGCAGCGCATGACGTGCACCACGACACTGACGTTCATCTGATGTCGGCGCTGCAGCCTGACGTCTACGTGGCCGACTACTTACGCGACAGCTTTGCAGACGTGGCGTCTTTCGTCGGCGTCTACTTGCAGCCCGATGGCTTCCTTCATCTGATGCCGCTTACGCGGGGGGAGTTGCTGGGGGGCGCGCTGCCCTGTCGCGGCGTCACCGCCGAAGATGGCAACTGTTCGGGCGGCGTGAACATTCCTCTGTGCTCTGACGTCGCGCCTCGCAGCGGTGGCCAGTTCGTGGACACTTGCCTGGTAGATTGTTTTCGCAAGTCTGGTCTGCCTGTCATTGCCACTCGAAATGGCCCTTACTGGATATTTCGCGACGGGAACGCGATACTTCGTCCGTGGGGGGCACGCGGCGGCGCCAGTGCCAAGACATTCAATTCTGAAGGATGGGCGATGCATTCTTCATGCGCGCAACCGTTTCTTCAACTTGTGGGCGCCGCGCGAGGGCAAGGCACGCGTCCGAATGGGCGGCGACAGCAGGCGCTTTATGGAGCCAGACAAACTCAAACGCTTTATTGACGACCCTGAAGCGTCAGTGTTCGTATTCAATCCCATCAATAGTATACCATTTTTGAATAGCGGTCGGTGCCCGTCGTGGATGATGGCGGGCGACAGGCAGGGGCGAATGGGGGCGGGCTCCGCGGCGCTGGCACTAGCCGACGCAAGCGCTGGAGGCGACGGCGAAGTTGTCGTGGTAGAGGAGAATGGAACCGCGCCCGCCGTGACACTGCTCCCGCTTTTGCTGCAGCGAGAGAGTGGATTACCCCCAGTGGTGGTTGATGCCGCAGCGCCAGCTGGAAGCGCGCCCCAATGGGTGTGCGCTGGCGCGCCCGTCGTCCAACTCCGCATCGGCGCCGACGAAGACGTCGTCCGCGTTGCCAGTGCCGCGGCCTACAGCCCGCCTCCGATGCCAGAAGGCCGCATTTTTCATTGGGGAGACGTCGGAGGGCACATGGTCGGAGCGGTCAACTTGGAACCTGGTTCATATGCCGTCGTGAAATGTTTGGGCGAACAACTTGTCAGAACCATTCTTGCGTCTCCGTCGCCAATGGGTCGAGCTGCTGGCCATGCTGGGCTGGCGTGCGAGGAAGCTGTAGCTTTTGCGGGGGAGATCCGACTGGGTGCTGGTGGCGTTGTGGAATCATGGAATATCGTCTCGGGCACGTACCACGCTGCCCAGTCGGGGATGCCCCTGAGCTTGCACTGACAGTTCGTCGACGCTGCCGACGTTTGCAAGCTAGAGGACGAGGCGAGGGCAAGGGCGCGCGCTCTGCCAGAGGGACACTTGTTGATGCCCCCGCGCGCGGCTCGCGCGGTCGCCGCGCAAGCTTTGGCATCGGACGCCCCGAGTTCGAAGAGACGCCGGAAGCAGGAAGTGCCCATGGACATGTGGGAACCAGAGATATACAAACAGTTTGTTGATGATGGTGCAGAACTAACGTTTCAGCCAGAAAAGGACGCGCAGCCTCCCTCAGTGTGCGATCTTACAGCAACATTACTGGATCGTTGGCTCACAGAAGTGGCAGACTGGGATCACGTCCCAAACGCCGTATCCTACCAAGCCTTCTTGGTTGTCGCACTGCACGTTACCATGGACATAGAGTGGGGCCCGAATACCGATCTCATCGCTGCGCGCCTGATTGGCACTCTAATGGGCGGACACATATGCGCGCACCCTGACGCTGTATACATGTATGAGAACGGAGCGATGAAGCCGATCTCAGAGTTACCAGAAGCGAAAAACAGATTATTGGGATAATCGTTGGTACGAGCACAGAGAATGTTTTATGCATGGATGATGAAGGCGAACGTCGGACGTGATTGGGGCGACGTCTTTTCATTTTTGCGAGATATTAACTTCGACAATTCTCATCAGCCGCTCCGGAGCGATTTCAGGAATGACCTTCCTGAAAATCCGCGCGCGCAGTGGTGGTCCCAAGCTGGCATCGCGATGCGATCTCCAAACTGCACACCCGTTTAACGAATAGGCACAATGCCCAAGAGATTTTGGACTGATTCGGGAAGTGGTTCGTCCAAGACCTCCCAGATGCGAACGCCATCGTCAACTTCGAAGACGCCGCGATTCGGTGGCAGAACGGGCCGATCCTGAAGATCCCGAAGGGTATCAACAACAATTGCTATACACATATCCCTGTTCACTTAGATTGGAAGCCCGCCGACGATACGCTGGAGCGGTTGCGGAGAGTTCTGTGCACGACCTACGCGGGGCGGCCCGACGCACGTGAAATAGACGAGAACATGGAGGTTCTGGCGCTGGACGGTTGTGCTCTTCCACATAAGATTATAGTCTTGTTATCCGATGGGGGGAATGGGAAGTCCGCGAAGTCCAAATTACGCGCCAGCGTGTTCGGCGCGAGTTGCAAGTACATGGGGTCCAACAACTTCCAGGTGGGGGGGGGAATTTCGAAAGCAGGGTTGCCATTTCGCCCAAGCTCGGTGTCTCATAATGTCGGAATGCACAGCTGGCAAGCCCTTACAAGAGAGCGCGGTGAAGAATTTCAAAGTTCCCTTCCCAGCGACATGGAGCGAGGCGCTCCATGTTGCACCTCAGACTCGTGTCGATTCATAGGCCCATGATCATTGAGATGTAGGGAGATGGGCTGCCTCCAGGAGGGAGGAGGGTGGACGGAGGAAGATAGGGGAAGGACGCCGAAGAGGGACTTCGGAGGAGGGAGGAAGAAAATAGAGGGGGTGCGACGAGTAGTGAGAGGAAGAGGGGAGGGGGCCTACTCACCACCTATCTGTCTTTGACTTGTCGTCGTCGCCGTGGTCGTGGTCGTTGTCGCACTCGTCGTCCACTCGGAGACGCTCCTACACCCAGGCACTCATAATACTACACGCTCACAGCGGACGTGCCAGGACATGATATGCGCAGATAGGGATCCCCGCATCGAAACTGTCTTGTACACCGTCACCAGCCAGCAACATCAAAAACTGAAGTCTGGGGTTTGGAAGGGGGGTGCGAGGGGCGAAGGGAGGGGGTCAGGGGGAAGAACGGTCGGCGTGTGGCGAGATGAAGTGGTAAGCTCTAAGGTGGACGGGGGGACTGCTTGCACGGGCTTTCGGTCCAGGCGGGCTATCCGCACACAGGCTTGGCGCAGTTCGCTGGTGCTTCGAACTGGCAGCTCGAAGTTCAGAGCCAGCGTGCTAGACCACTCGTCGGCGTCGGTCGTCGTCTTTGTCGTGCCCCAGGCGTTCCCAGATGAATTCCATAGGCCGCAGGAGCCTCCCGGTGCCTGCCATGGACGTTCCCAGAGGGCTCCAAGAGGCCGCAAGAGAACCCAAGTGTTCGCCAATATGTTGCAAGAGAGTCCGAAGGAACCCAAGCAGGCCAAAGAGGCACTAAGGTCAGGCGGAGCCAGGGAGCGCCCAGAAGCTCCCCGCAGTCTGGAGCGTCTGGCTTGTGGCTCGAGGCATCTTTGTTCTCGACCTACTTGTTTTCTTCGCCGCCGGGGTCGGCCAGGGCCATGACGCCGTCCTCATTCGTCGCCCTGCTGCTGCTGCTGGTTTCGCGCTCGCGCGCCACGGCCGGCGGCCGCGCGTGCCCAGACGCGGAGTCCCAGCTGCTCCAGCTCTCGAGCAGTCAGAGCTCTGGCGGCGGCGTCGGCTCGGGGCTGGCGTCCACGGACCTGGATTCCGTGGTGTGGCCCACCCGCGGCGGACCTCAGCTGAGCAACAAATGCCCAGTACCGCTGCTCGTCCTGGAGAGCCTTCGTCGCCACGGCTGGATTCGCCTCGAGAATCTGGCCAGAACGCACCGCAGAAGAGGTCAAGGGAGCAGCGGTATGTGTATGTTTTTGCCCCCCAGGAAAGACGATCTCCTGCTGCCGCTGCAACTTCGTCATGCGCATCCTTGTCCCGGCCGCGAACATGCCCGCCGGCCCGCAGCAGCTTCGCATCAAGTTCGCACAGTCGAACAACGGCATCGCGTACGTGGCTTTCGGTGAGGAGGAGTCCCCAGGAGTGATGAAGGCTGGCACCATCACGAACCTGTGTTTTGACGGGCAGGTCGGTGACTGCACCACGGCCGTGTCCCTTAAGGCTTCTGAATTGTACACCGAGTGGTTCGACTACACGATCGACACAGCCAAGAATTATTACGTATCCTACCTTCACCTCTGCGGCCCTGGCGGTCCCTCGTCAGGGACAACCCCTGACGGTGTGGCGTTCAGCGGTTACAACACTGATACAAGCGACGCATACACGTATTGGTCAACTTCTGGTACTACGACGTGGTACAACGCCCTCCGCGACAACGGCCTGGCCGAGACCCTTCGCGGACCCAGTGCGCTCGTGTACGGCCACTACTCACGCGATCCGGGCGCCAGCATCACAGGCGGCTGGAAAACCGCGAATCGAATCGAAGGCATCCAGGGTATCGAGTCTCAGGCTAGTCCAACCCCTAGCGTAGCTGCCACTGGCGACCCCCACCTGCAAAACCTTCTTGGGGAGCGGTTCGACCTGATGAAGCAGGGCATGCACGTTCTGATCAACATCCCTCGTGGAACGGGCGCCAGCAGCGCGATGCTTCGTGCACAGGCTGACGCTGTCAGGCTTGGTGAACATTGTGGCGACCTGTACTTCCAGGAATTGAATGTGACAGGCGTTTGGGCAGAGGCATCGCGAGCAGGAGGATACCATTACAGCGTCTCGCAAAGCGATGTCCCTTCCTCAGAATGGGTTGCTGTTGGTAAGGTCGCGCTGAAAGTCGTGATTGCTCACACGGACAGAGAATTGCAATATCTCAATGTCTATCTGAAGCACTTGGGGCAATCGGGATTTGCTGTCGGTGGTCTGCTGGGAGAGGACGACCACGAGGACGCAAGCACTCCTCCAGAGACGTGCGTCAAGCGTATTTCTCTGAAGAAGGACGCGCAGAGCATCTCTTCACGTCTCTCTGCAGCCTCGATCGCAGTGGCGAACCTGGCGTGACCATGCGCGCTTGTCGTCAGCATGAGCATCTGTAGTCTCCCCCCACATTCCTCCCTCTCGTTTCCACTGCGTTATCTGTGGTGGATTCGTTCCTCGACCCTATTCGCCCCCTCGTATCTTTCCTGTGTGTGTAGCTTTTCTCTTCATCACGCGTGTGCCCGTTCGTTCTGGCCACCGTGCGCATTTTGCTCCTGAGAAAAATACAAAAACATGGAGCACCGCGGCCCAAACGGGGAAACCATGACATTCGAACAGTGGACGGTCTAAGCGTGGAAAAAATCATAGTTCTGAAGAGCGTGCGGCCAAATCGGTGGCAACATGGTTTTTGCACCTTCTCCTTGTGAGAGCTCGGGGCACGGATGGACGGTTCCAGGAGGGACAACGCGACATTCGGACAGCGGGCGGCCACGTTCGCACGGTGGGCGGCCCAACTGGGAAACACGAGGGTCTGGAAAGCAGGGTGCCCAAACGGAGGAACAGGGCATTCGGACAGCGGACGGTCCGAGCGGTCCAGGAGCGGCCTCGAGACTCCTCGAGGATGGCGGCCCTGCTCGGGGCGCGGGACCTTCTTCAGCAGACTGCCGCCCAGGATGCGACAAGGGCGGGGCAGAGAGGAGGCACGAGGAGGAGGAGGAGGAACGGACAGGCCAGCGATCCAGGAGGCACGAGGAGGAGGAGGAGGAGGAGGCACGAGGAGGCACGAGGAGGCACGAGGAGGAGGAGGCACGAGGAGGAGGAGGAGGAAGCGGAGGACCACCGCGCAGCAGGCTGCGCTTGTGTCCGCCCCCCGTGCCAGGCAGGGCCAGCTGCACGTGGGCTCCTTCCCGCCACCGCCGCTTTTGGGCGGTGCACCGCCTGCCTCCTGGACGGTTCCCGGGGCGGAGGCACTGCGCCGCTGTGTGCACGTGGCGCCTTTGTGGCCCCAGAAACGGCAGGTCCTTTTTTTCACCGTTTCCAGAAAATGTCCCTTGAAAATGGAAACGGCAAAAAAACGGCGACCGGAAACGGCAAAAAACGGCTCCAGGATTGGAACCGGAGCCGGAACCGGTCAAAAAACTGCGACGGAACCGGTAAAAAAAACGGCGTCGGCACCGGCAAAAAAACGGCAAAACGGAACCGGTAAAAAAACGGCCCTGTGGTTTCCAGGGCCCACTAAGCGTGGCGCACGCCGCTGCTCTGTTGCTCGGACATGAGCGCTGCCGCCCAGCGCAGTGAAAGCCCATGCCAAGAAACACCCTTGACCGGTACGAAAGGCTGTTACCTAGTATATTCTGCAAGAGCCCCAAAGTTGGATCCTGGGAGCCCCCCCTAGCATATATATATATATATATATATATATATATATATATATATATATATATATATATATATATATCCCTGGGGGGCTGACCCGCGGCCTGAAAACAGGTGCCCCGACCCCCCATGGGAGGACGGGGGGGGCCTGGAGCCTCCCCGGAGCAGCCAAGACAGCCCCAGAGTGCCCGAAGAGCGTTCCAACACAGGCCCAGAGGGCTCCAAGACGCTAAAGGTGGCCCCAAGACTGCGCCAGAGGCCCCCAAGACCGCCCAAGACAGCCCCAAGACAGCACAAGATGGCCCCAAGACGCCCCAAGAGGCCCCAAAGAAGCCTACCAAGAGAGCCCGGGGAAGCCAAAATTGTTGATTTTCTGTGTGTTTTTCGATGTTTTTTGGCGTTCTCGCTCTTCCAGCTTTCCGACGCTCCAAGACAGCTCCAGAGGCCCTCAAGAGCGCCCAAAGATGGCCCGGGACGCCCCCAATACGGCCCCAAGACGGCCCCAAGACAGCTCTGGAGGGCCCCAAGACAGCCCAAGAGGCGCCCAAGAGATCCCAACACGGCCCCGAGAAGGCCCCAAGAGGGGCCCGAGAGGGCGACCGAAGGTTCAAACATCTAATTTACCGCCCCGAGAGGGCCCCAGGAGACCCCCAGAGGGCCCCAAGAGGCCCCAAGAGGCCTCCAAGAAGCCCCAAGGAGGCCCCCAAGAGGCTCCCAAAAGACCCCAATGGGCCCCAAACCGGCTCCCCATGAGGCCTCCAAACTGCGGCCCAGAGGCCCCAAAGAAGCCTCCCAAGAGAGGCCCGGGAGGCCCGAATTGTTGATTTTAAAAAATCGATCCGGGCTGAAAAACTGCGTCCTGTGTGTGCCGGAATCGTCCCGGTCGGCCGCCGGAAGCCCGAGGCATTGCCCTGAAACCGATGCACGGGGCGGGGCTTTTGGGACTTTCGAGTGGCCCCCTCGTCGCCACGGCTGGACGCAGCTTGGAGAACTGGTACGTTTGGACTCCGGGCAGGGTCGTGGGACGTGTCGCAGCCGAGGCAAGCCAAAGGGCGAACGGTTCTGCTCTGGCCGAAAGGTTGTGCAGCGGCAGCTCCAGCTGCCTCGAAGAGGGTCGGCGGTGGCAGGTCCACTGCAACTTCCCTGCGCACTGTCTCGTCCTCCGCATCGGCTTCTGTCCCCGCGCGTGCACGGAGCCAGATGTCATCAGCCCTCAAGCCCTGAAGCCCTACTCCGCCTCCTCCTCCCCCTCCTCCGCCTCCTCCCCCTCCCCCTCCTCCTCCTCTCTCTCCTCCCCCTCCTCCTCCCCCTCCTCCTCCTCCTCCTTCTCCTCCTCCTCCTCCCAGTCGGCCCGAGGACAGTAAGCACAGGTCCAGTATCGGGGCTCGAGGATTGAAGCTTGCGGGTGCCTGGGCGTCTGGAGGCATCTGGGCACACGATGACGTCGTGGTGCGATCGGACTCGAGAGGCCCCCAAGAGGCCTCTAGAAGTCTGGAACGGGCAGCCCGGACGCCCGAAGAGGTCTCCAAAGAAGGCCCGACGAGGCAGAATCATTGCTTCTCCGAAGTTTTTCGAAGGATTTTGGAATTTTCGCTTTTCAGTTTCCCGACGCACACCGGCGTCCCAAGAGCCCGTTTTTTTATTCCCCGGCGATAACGGGCGTTACCGGGGGGGGGGGGGCGGGGGGCCGGTAGCGTCACGTTCGGCGCCCGCGGCGTCTGGGAATGCCTAGGGATGACCGAGGACAGGTAGGGGCAGCGTGAAGGTGGCGATCTGCACCACAGCGCCTGTGTACACCACAGTGCCTGCGTGCACCACAGCGCCTGTGTACACCGCAGCGCCTGTGTACACCACAGCAGCCTGCGTGCACCACAGCGACGACGACGACGAGAAAGAGGACGGGGAAAAGTTTGATGAGGAGGAGAGGAGGAGGAGGAGGAGGAGGAGGAGGAGGAGGAGGTTTTGGAGCGCTTTAGCTTTAGTTTGGCTCAAGTTTCAAGACTCAAGACACACACGGGGTCCATGTAGCCCGGAGTCCCGGGATAATATTTACACCCCTGTCGGGAGGCTCCTTGGCCACTTGGAACCGTCTTGGGGCGGTCGCGGCCTCTCTAAGGCCCTCTTGGAACCACCTTTGGCCAAAAAAGGAGCTCTGACAGACTCAAGACACACAAGGGGTCCATGTAGCCCGGAGTCCTGGGATAATATTTACACCCCTGTCGGGAGGCTCCTTGGCCACTTGAACGATCTTGGAGGCCATCGTGGCTTCCCTGAGGCCCTCTTGGAACCACCTTTGGCCAAAAAAGGAGCTCTGACAGACTCAAGACACACAAGGGGTCCATGTAGCCCGGAGTCCTGGGATAATATTTACACCCCTGTCGGGAGGCTCTTTGGCCACTTGAACGATCTTGGAGGCCATCGTGGACTCTCTAAGGCCCTCTTGGAACCACCTTTGGCCAAAAAAGGAGCTCTGACAGACTCAAGACACACAAGGGGTCCATGTAGCCCGGAGTCCTGGGATAATATTTACACCCCTGTCGGGAGGCTCCTTGGCCACTTCAACGGGAGGCCATCGTGGCCTCTCTAAGGCCCTCTTGGAACCACCTTTGGCCAAAAAAGGAGCTCTGACAGACTCAAGACACACAAGGGGTCCATGTAGCCCGGAGTCCTGGGATAATATTTACACCCCTGTCGGGAGGCGCCTTGGCAACTTGAACGATATTGGATGCCATCGTGGCCTCTCTAAGGCCCTCTTGGAACCACCTTTGGCCAAAAAAGGAGCTCTGACAGACTCCAGACACACATGGGGTCCATGTAGCCCGGAGTCCTGGGATAATATTTACACCCCTGTCGGGAGGCTCCTTGGCCACTTGAACGATCTTGGAGGCCATCGCGGCTTCCCTGCGGCCCTCTTGGAACCACCTTTGGCCAAAAAAGGAGCTCTGACAGACTCAAGACACACAAGGGGTCCATGTAGCCCGGAGTCCTGGGATACCACCCCTGTCGGGAGGCTCTTTGGCCACTTGAACGATCTTGGAGGCCATCGTGGACTCTCTAAGGCCCTCTTGGAACCACCTTTGGCCAAAAAAGGAGCTCTGACAGACTCAAGACACACAAGGGGTCCATGTAGCCCGGAGTCCTGGGATAATATTTACACCCCTGTCGGGAGGCCCCTTGGCCACTTCAACGATCTTGGAGGCCATCGTGGCCTCTCTAAGGCCCTCTTCGAACCACCTTTGGCCAAACAAGGAGCTCTGACAGACTCAAGACACACCAGGGGTCCATGTAGCCCGGAGTCCTGGGATAATATTTACACCCCTGTCGGGAGGTCTCCTTGGCCACTTGAACGATCTTGGAGGCCATCGTGGCCTCTCTAATGCCCTCTTGGAACCACCTTTGGCCAAAAAAGGAGCTCTGACAGACTCAAGACACACAAGGGGTCCATGTAGCCCGGAGTTCTGGGATAATATTTACACCCCTGTCGGGAGGCTCCTTGGCCACTTGAACAATCTTGGAGGCCATCGTGGCCTCTCTAAGGTCCTCTTGGAACCACCTTTGGCCAAAAAAGGAGCTCTGACAGACTCAAGACACACAAGGGGTCCATGTAGCCCGGAGTCCTGGGATAATATTTACACCCCTGTCGGGAGGCGCCTTGGCCACTTGAACGATATTGGATGCCATCGTGGCCTCTCTAAGGCCCTCTTGGAACCACCTTTGGCCAAAAAAGGAGCTCTGACAGACTCCAGACACACATGGGGTCCATGTAGCCCGGAGTCCTGGGATAATATTTACACCCCTGTCGGGAGGCTCCTTGGCCACTTGGAACCGTCTTGGGGCGGTCGTGTGCGCGTCATCATCATCATCATCATCATCATCATCATCATCATCATCATCATCATAATCATCATCCTCATTACCACCATCATCATCATCATCATCGATGCACCGACGTAGCCGCTGAACGGCCGCGCGCGGACGACG